TATGGTAGCTTTGTATATTAGAAAACTGATATCTTTAACTGGCAGGTTTGTTGTGTACCCAGAGATCCAAAATTTTTTGGGAATTGATTACTTTGTATTTGTTACTGTTAAAGATGAAACGGAGGCATGCACCCCTGCTAAGATGTCACGACCCAGCAAAAGCTCTGTTCTTTATCTTATCCAAGTTGCTACTGAGGCTACTCGCGATTGGCCGAGCTTTAGATGTTGTAAAAAATGTGTTTTCAGATATGACTGTTACTATTCATGTTGTTATAATTATTGCAAGAGGTGATGCACTTGCATATCCATTAACAAAGTGTAGCTTAAACTTGTATGAGGAAACTTCAAGTTGTCTTCAAGAACTCTTGCAGTCTAATAGTCTCTTGCATAACTTTTATTTACAGTTGACCAGAAAGTCTAGAATGTAGAAGGAAGAAATATTAAAGTTGATTTAAGGAATTTGTTATTACTAAGCTGCACTATATGTATATAATAATCCTACATAATTGTTCATATGCTGGTAATTTTATTGAACATGTTGATTGTAGCTTGGATATAGAATATTAAGCATGATGACCTGGACATGTATTATAGGACTCTTGGTAGAAAAGCTTTTGCATCATGTTCATGAAATAACTTGATACATACTGTACAATTTATTAATAAAGGTACAAATTATCGAACTATTTTAAATCTTGAGTTGGGCTAAAATTCTTTGGTTACTTTTAGTTATTTAATCCAAGGGATCATTTGCACCCAAAGCTAATATTTAAAAATGTATATAAAAAATATATTTAAAAAAATATATTTTCATCAGGTATTTTATCGTGCATGATAACAATATTACCGGTAACCTTTTGCCCTAAAAATACATTGAGATTTTTTTAATATACAAGTAAAACCATAGATTGGACATTCTGAAATGGATTTTAATCAAGGAAAATTTTTGACTAATTTATATGGAAGCTTCCCTAGATAGTGTAGATTCTAAATTGTTCCAATCATGGCCCCTTGGGGTAGGGTGGGGCCACAATTGGAAATCAAAGTTTTACATTGAAATATATTGGAAAAATCTGTATAAATCTTCTTCACAAGAACCACAGGACCAGAAAAGGTGAAACTTATATGAGAACATCCTTGGATAGTGTATATTCTAAATTGTTCAATTCATGGCCCCAGGGGCTATGGGGGGGGTCACATAAGGGAATCAAAGTTTTACATGGAAATATATATGAATAATCTTTAAAATTTTTCTTCTCAAGAACCACTGGGCCAGAAAAACTGAAACTTATGTGAAAGCATCCTGGGGTAGTGTAGATTCTAAATTGTTCAAATCATGGCCCCCGGGGGAAGGGTGGGGCCACAAAAGGGAATGAAAGTTTTACATTGAAATATGCACTGATATATAGGAAAAATCCATATAAATCTTCTTCCCAAGAACCACTGGGCCAGAAAAGCTGAAACTTATATGTAAGCACTCTGGGGTAGATTCTAAATTATTCAATTCATGGCCCCTGGGGGTAGGGTGGGGCCACAATAGGGAATCAAGGTTTAACATTGAAATATATAAGAACATTTTTTAAAAATCTTCTTAAGAACCACTGGGCCAGAAAAGCTGAATATTATATGAGAGCATCCTTAGGTTGTGTAGATTCTAAATTGTTCAATTCAATGCCCCCGGGGGTAGGGTAGGGCCACAATAAGGAATCAAAGTTTTACGTAGAAATATATAGGAATAATCTTTAAAAATCTTCTTCTCAAGAACCACTGTGCCAGAAAAGTTTAAAATTATGTGGAAGCTTCTTAATGTAGTGTAGATTTTAAATTGTTCAAATCATGACCCCCGGGAGTAGGGTGGGGCCACAGTAAGTATCATAAGGGGGGGGGGGGGAATCTGGTAAAGAACAGCAGTGCCAAAGTTACTCAGGTGAGCATTGTGGCCTATGGGCCTCTTGTATTTTTTGCTCACCTGAGCTGAAAGCTCAAGTGAACTTTACTGATCACCCGTTGTCTGGCGTCACTCCCATCTGTAAATTTTTCACATTTTCAACTTCTCAAGAACCACTGGGCCAATTTTAATCAAAAGTCCATACAAAGCATCCCTGGGTAAAAGGGATTCTAAATATTTGAAATGAAAGGCCAAATCTCCTTCCCAGGGGAGATTTTCATGAAAAGGCAAAAACAGGATTGGGTCATTAAAAATCTTCACAAGAACAACCAGGCCAGAAAAGCTGAAACTTACATGGAAGCTTTCTAAGGTAGTGTAGATTCTAAATTGTTCAAAACCCCCCCCCCCCTTCCACCTCGGGAGGTAGGTTGGGGCCACATTAGGGGATTAAAGTTTTACATTGACATACGTAGAAAAAAATTTCCTAATGTAGTGTAGATTCTAAATTGTTCAGATCACGGCCCCGGGTTAGGATTGGGCCACAATAGTGGACCAAAGTTTACATTTAAATATAAAGGAAAATTCTGGAAAAACCTAAAGAACCATTTGGCCAGAAAAGCTGAAACTTATGTGGAAGTTTCCTAAGGTAAAGTAGATTCTAAACTGTACAGATAATTACCCCTTGGGTAGGATTGGGCCACAATAGGGGATCAAAGTTTAAATTAAAATATTAAGGAAAAATCTGGAAAAAATCTCCAGAACCATTTGGCCAGAAAAGCTGAAATTTATTTGACAGCTGACTGAGGTAGTGTAGATTCTAAATTGTTCAGATTATGGTCCCAGGGGGTAGGGTGGGGATTATATTGGGAAAAATCTTTAAAACTCTTATTCTCAAGAACAGCAAAGTCGTTGAATCATATGAATGTGGAAGCATCTTCTGGTAGAGTAAATGATTCCTTTTCAATCAAATTTCTGTCTCTCTTTAAAGGGTGGGCCACAAAGGGCAATCTACTCTGAATTTTCTGGATTATAATTTTAATATTTTTCATTAATACACAACAAAATTTCTACTTTTCTTAAGTATTAAGGATAAAGTTTACTTTGTGAAAATGCAAGGATGTGTCAATGAAATGTGTACTTAAATTCGTAGTTTCAATAATTTCAATAATCAATAATTTGAGAAAATATTAACTTCAAATCTGTGTCCAGACCCCTTTAGTCAATATATCAATATGTAAATAAAACATTAATGAAATACATATAGGTAACATTGATCAGCACTGAACTAATGAACAATGACATAAATCTACACATTACTGAGCAGTTCAAGAATGCGTCAAAAATAAATAACAATGACACGTGATCTATTGTATCTATCATATTTTATGTGAAATCAGTAAGTACTTTTTTCTTTATGCGCTATTCCATCGATACCTCCGACATGTGCGTCAATATGCTCATTTTTACGTCAGTCATATCTATGAAGGTCTTTGCCAAAGGATTACGGTAATATGACATACCATATTGAATACGGCTAAAAATATTTTATTTTTCGTCTCAATATGCCCTAATATGCTACACGTTGGAGATAACGTAGCGTGACGTTATTACATATAAAATACGACATATTTACGTTTATTTTTTCTGTTGTTGATACTTTTCCTAAAATGCAGTTTAATACTATTTTAAATCTTCAAAACTAATTTAATTTCTATGTTTACAAGTTTAAGATGAAGGGAGAAAAAAACTACACTGAAAAAAAAATTATAATCAATATGTTGACATTTTGTAGAGGGACCTGGTGAGGGAGTTAAGGTTCATCGAACGTAATGTACACGCATGGCCGGGAGGGGGGGGGGCACGGGGGGCCGTGCCCCCCCCCCCCCCAATAATTTTGCCGACATATAGATTACTATAGTAAACATAGATACTATATGCTTGTGCCCCCTCAATAAAAACGTCTGATGACCTTCTTTTTTTTTTTGGCTTGTCAAGGAATTTTTGGTAGTTAATGACCTTTTTTTTTGCTTGTCAGCAAATTTTTAGTAGTGCCCCCTCAACTCTCAACTGAAAAATGTATGGCTGTGCCCCCCCCCCCCCCCCCAAACTGAAATTGCTTCCTACGGGCCTGACACGGATGTGATACACGTTCTATTTATAGTATTTTTGTATAAGCCAATAACTGAATTTTTTAAAATAGTTCTGAAAACAATGTTTAAGTTCATTACTATAAGTGTAGCAAACAAAAAACAAATAAAAAATTAATTCAGAGAGTAATCTGGCGTGTTTTCCGCTTTAATATGGTGACGGAGTTTGGCCGGTAGTAGGGGATACAGTAGGAATATGCAATTCTTAAAACGTGCATAATATCAAACTTCTGTGATATTCTAGTGTATATCAAGCAGAAAGATTTACAAAAAATAACCACTGTGCGCTTAAAAAATGTTACGAATACAGTTCGAATTTCCTCGAAAATAGCTTCATTTGTCAAACAGGCGTACGCCGAATGCGCCGCTTGACCTTTGATATCGTACCCGGCTAGCCGGCGTATGCCGATCTCGCCGGTTTGAAATGACCGGCATCGGACGGATTCGCCGGTCTTAGAAATATGGCGGGAAGATAAAATGCAGACGCTTTTTACCAACTCGGCATGTTCTTTAATTGTTTGCATTTCTTGAACAAATCGCCATTCATATATTTTTAAAATCTGTTGTTATTTTCGAAATTAAAATTTTTCATGAGGTCCATGATTTTTTTTTACATTGAATTTTGAATAATTCAACATTGTTTTCGCTAAGACGTAATGTAAAAAGTGACAGATCATAATTAATTGATTATTATTTATTATAATTATTTTTTGTTTTCGTCGGTTTACTTCATTTGCCACTTAGGCGTTTTACACCGGTCATATGACAGGCGCAATTCGGCGTACGCCGATCTGTAATAAATGAAGTCGGCCCTCTGTATAGAAAATATACATTATCCTTGACCCAAGCGCCTATGGTTAGAACCACTAGGGGTCAGGAAGGAGTTTTAAAGAGTTCGATCACTAAATATACACTATAACCTTATACTGAGTATCAATTTACCATTTATGCAACGATTGAAATACCTTGCATCAATGATGGCAGCGCCATCTACTCCTCTGCAAACGTAATCGGTGATGTAATGATCTGTGCAGTTTGTCAGGGTCATGTTTGGTTGACACACAGCAAAGAAATATGGACGAAGACTGCCCACACAAGATTTAGTCAATTCAACAAAGAGAATGCACAGAGAAAAGCCAAACATCATGGTGCCAATTATTCTATAATACAGCTGAATATAGCAATATTTCTTCAATCTGCGACCATTTCTTAAAATTTCGGTGATAAAAATCTATATATATAAAAAAAAAAAAAAAAAAATCAAAACAAAACAGAACAAAACAAAAAAAAAAAAAACAAAAAAAAAAACTGACAAAAACATACCTTCTGTTTAATGGTGTATAAAAGACTCCATAAATTTTTAAAATCAGACCTCAAATGTTAAAAATCTGACATTATTTTGAAAGTTTCAGTTATATAAAAATTGTGACTCACAATTGAAGTTGTGGGCAGAAAGGAAATCAGTATAACGTGACTTTCTTTTACGGACAGATCCTTATATGGAAACATCAGATTTAGGTCGCTGCAAAAGAAGCCTCGTCGAAATGGCAAGAAAAAGTCAACCTTATTGTAGGCCAGTAGAACATCAAAGGTCGCCACTATGCAAAGAATATAATACTGTGTATGTTTATCTAGATAAATAAAACATGAAAACACTGTATGCTGTATTCTTCTTACTTATCGACACTCTCACCGAAAGTCACAAAAGAGCATTATAACTAGAAACCCATTGCGAGCAATGAGAGGTCTTCCGACCGATTCTGAAATTAAAAACGAAAATTCCAGCTGAAAAAGTGATAAAAGAAATTCAGACACTCTGGAGATTTAACCCTGGTCGTCAGCGTGAAAATCCAACGTGCTAGCCATTAACCATTCACTTTTTTGCATCACTTCCTGTCACGGCCGGAAGTATATAACGTCGATACAAGATTTTCTCACGATTCAAATAAACTTGACTGACTATCAGTCCTGAAAGTTTTAAACTTCGGTCGTTTACTGTTACCGAGCAATATTGTGAGAAGAAATTCTAATTTTGAGGACAGGTAAACACGCGACCGTAAGTGAATTTTATGAAAATCTCTGACTTTTCTCAAGACATTTGCAGTATCTACAAGATACATAAAATTATTTCAAGTACTTTATCGATAAGCATATTTATGAGAAAGTTAAATATCAAAATAACGTAGTTTATCTCCTAAAACCGGAAGTTGACGTTTTTGTTTCCGGTGGAATCTAACATATTTCAAAACAGCGAAAGAGATGCAATAAATTGATGCAAGTTTTAATTAAAAAAGAAAAGTTACTTTTTTTTTATTTCTTTGATCACTTCCTGTGACAAGCGGAAGTGACGAGTGACGCGTTTAACCCAAATGTTTTCGCCTACTCCTCAAGGTCTATTACTCATAAAAAGTTTGATGTTTTAATCTTTTACCTGTTTTTGAGATCTCGCTCAGACAACTTCTCATTTTGAGGACAGGGAAACACGCGACCGGAAGTTCATTTTTAAAAGATATTTAAGATTACTCAAGACATTTGCACTCTGAATAACATATTTTAAAATTCATTTCAAATACTTAATCTATAAAGAATATCTATGGGAAAGTAAAATACTCAAATTATGTAGTTTTTCTCTTATAACCGGAAGTTGTTTTTGTTTCCGGTGGGACCAACATCTTTCGAATATGCGAAAAAGATGCAATAAAGTGACGCAATTTTAAATTAAAAAAAGAAAAGTTGAAATTTTCGATTTCTTTGATCACTTCCTATGACGACCGGAAGTGACGGCTGACGCTCTGAACCCAACTGGTTTTGCCTACATCTTAAGGTCTGTTGCTCTTATAAGTTTGGTGTCTTAATCTCGTACCGTTTCCGAGATATTGCTCAGACAAATTCTCATTTTAAGGACAGAAAAACACGCGACCGGAAGTGAATTTTACAAAGATATTTGACGTTACTCTAGACACTTGCAGTCTGAATAACACACTTAAAAATCATTTCAAATACTTTATCTACAAAAAATATTAATGGGAAAGAAAAATACTCAAATTATGTAGTTTTTCTCTTATAACCGGAAGTTGACGTTTTTGTTTCCGGTGGGACCAACATATTTCGAAACTACAAAACAGATGCAATAATGTGATGTAAGTATTGATTTAAAAAGGGAAAGTTGAAATTTTACGATTTCTTTGATCACTTCCGTAAGCGACCGGAAGTGACGACGACGAACGCAAAGTAGTATCTATCACGAACTATAATCCCTGAAAGTTTGACATTGATATCTCTTGTCGTTCTTGAGATTATCCGCGGACAAAAAAATGTCATTTTGAAATCAGAAAATGATCTGTAACTTGGCACCGGAAGTGAATTTCCAAATTTTCTCTCAGATAGATCAAGTTAATGTTACAACACATTACTCCTGAAAATTTCATGTAAATCCATCCAATAGTCTTCGAGAAATCGCGTGCACAAAATTAGATTGTCAAAAAAATAATAAGAAGAAGAAACAGTAGAATCACTATAGGTCTTCCGTTGTGAACGTAAGACCTAATGAAAATACCAATGTCCCTTTCTGATTTTTCAACCGAAAAAATGTAAGTAACCAGAAAAATTAACGAATCCCTAGAACGAATTCCAAGAGGACATGGCCACAATCATCATCATCAGACGTTGGAATTGGCTTGGCCATGTACTTAGAAGGGACTAGGACAGTATTCATGCGCGGATCTGGAGTGGGGAGGGGGGAGTTCGTTGCAGAGTTATTAAAAGTATATACTGAAGCAAATAAACAATGACTTTGCCCCCCCCCTCCCCTCTAGAAAACATGGAACGTGGACCCCACCATCATCACCACAAAATAGGTGTTTTTCACGTTTGGGAAATGGAATGTGGAATGTTTGGGAAGGGAATTTAGTTTTTTGCTTTTTTTTTTGTTGTTTTTTGTTTTTTTGCTTGTCAAGTAATTTTGGGGTTGGAATTTTTTTCTGACTGGGGTGCCTCCCCCCCCCCCCCCCCCGGAAAAAATCCTGGATCCGCGCCTGGTATTATAAAGCCAGCTCACTTCTGGACACCAGAGGGAAAACGGAAGAGAGGAAGGCCCAAAGTCACTTGGCAGTGGAAACCGAAATAAAGGAACAAAAGAGAAGTTTAATGCACACTCCAGAAGTTAGGATGGAGAACCTTTGATACTGCCCTATACACCAAAGGCATCACAGGCAGAAAGTTAGTAAATACTAAGGTCTTTCTCCCGAAAATTCTAAAACCACATAATTTGACGAAATCAGAGGTACATGTAATCTAGCATGTGTTTTATAATTGGGAAATAATTCGTGAGGATTTCTTTTCCTAGTCTTTTTACGGTGAAACATGACATTCCTGCATGTCATAGAGGTTATTAAGACATAGAGACAAGTGTGACAAGGCCACAGCAACTCCTCACATCAATTCATAAATGGTTTTAATTGTGAAATACTAAAACATACAGGTATTGTTTGTTTGTTTAGTTGGTTAACGTCCCTTCGCGAATTTTTCACTCCTATTGAGACGCCACCACTTGCCGGTGGAGGGCTGCTTTAGACCTTTATTCGGCACTTACGGCCTTTGAGCAGAGAGGGATCTTTTAAGTGCCAGCATCTACTGCAACAAGGGACCTTGGTTTGTACGGTCTCATCCAAAGGACCGGTTTCTACACTAGATTCGAATCAGCGACGTAAGAATCAACTCCTTACGCCGCGAATCTAGAGCAAACGCTCTAACCTTGCGGGCGATTACAGACATGATTGCGATTATTGTAACAAGCACAAGAAAACATTGATGTTGCCATTAAATTGTCGCCCAGGAAATAAATGAAGTAAAATCTTGATCCTCAAACCGCTTTGATTTATGTATAAAGGCATACGTCTGAATGAGACTATAGTCGAGATTTACGGAAAGCTTCTAATTGGATGAAAATCGAACAAAAACGATACCGTTTTTAAAAACTTTATCATTTCTTCAAGTAACTGTTGGCTGCATAAAATATAAATTAGAATCAGACATATGTATCACATATCATCAAAAATATATTTGACTTAATGAATATAAAACACAAACTGTGTACCGTACGTTTTTATGCGTTAAGTAAAATTTAATGTTCTAAAAAAAAAGGATCTGTCATTTTGTCGATAGTAAATGATAAGAAACTTTGTACATAACATATGAAAAACATATAAATTTTTAAAGATGTACTTCATGGAAGTAAACAAATTGTGTATCTCGTAATTTATAAAGTGAAAGAACATTTTGCTGTATAATCTTTTTTAAGTATAGTTAACCTTTAATTCTGAATAACTTCTCCCACCTCAATCCCATACACCAAAACTTAAACTTATATGTATAGAGCAGCCCGGTCCTCCGGGCTGCAATAATACACATCCATGAATTCAAACGGCTTAATACATGTACAACTGATAAAATTGTATTGGAAGCTGATGTTTGTGTCGCCTGCAGAATAGAGCGACACTTAGGGATCACTCTACCCGTCGTGTGTCTGTCCGCCTGTCTGCCACAACCAATATCTTAAGAACTGTAAGAGATATGGATTTGATATTTTGCACACATGGCTTGCAAAATACCATCATGGTTACAGACCTCGTGACCCTTGATCTTGACCTTTGATCTACTTTTCAAAATACTAGTAGTTCACTGTGTCGACATACAGCATATTTTTGACTTTGAGAGGTAAGTGTATGATATTTAGCATGTGCATTGTTGCCATGAAATATCATGAAAAATACCAGCGTTACAGTCTACTTGATCTTTGACCTACTTGGCAAAAAATTGATTTCACTTATGTCTTTTGAATTTTGAGAGGCAATTTTTAATTAGTATTTATATCACACGTTTATGAGCTAATGAGACCGTAAACTACAGTTACCATACAAACTGATACTATGCAAATACATCGGAATCGATATACCAAAAAAGGACCGTTGTAGACTGATAATTGGATAATTGCATTAAGGACAGACTGAAATCTCTTTTGGAGGATTGTTAGATTAAACACGCTTTAATAAAATGAATTAATATGTTTTACGTTGTGACCGTTGGGGCGAGCGCAGTTGTACCATCAAAAACATTTACACAGTTTACACTTGTAACTTCGATCCGCCTCTTCAAACTTCAAACCGCTTGAGACACAGTCTAGACTGTGATGTCACATGACGTTGGAATTTACGGAGATAGCCGAACGTTTGGTTGAACGAGACTACTATGGCATGTCAAACGTTGCAATATTCGATCTTTTGCATTTGCATTGTATAATTTTCCATTTGCATTGTATAATTTTTATTTGTATTGTATAATTTTCTATTTGTATTGTATAATTTTCATTTGTATTGTATAATTTTTATTTGTATTCTATAATTTTCCATTTGCATTGTATAATTTCTTATTTGTATTGTAAAATTTCTTATTTGTATGCGATAATTTTTCATTTGTATTGTATCCGCGGACTGTTTATTTGTTTCGTTACGAAGGATTTCATTGGTCAAGTTTCAGCCTGTATCGGGTTGAAGATGTTCCGGATGCTCAAAGCAAACTGGGCTCATATGTATTTGCTTTCTTGCTTGATTGATTATTGTTTAACGCCGAGTCGGCAATATTTCAGCCATATTTCGGCGGCATATGTATTTGCGTGCATGTTAGACGGTCACTGGATTCTAAAAAGGGAGAGCTGGTAGATGGCAAATAAATAATCTATCCTTAGGAATGCTGACTGAGAAAATAAATAAATTGACCTTGAGTGGTGGTAACTACCCCCACCCCCAAAAAACTGAGTTTTCGGGTTTGGGCGGATTTTCTTCTTTTTGTTTTTCTCCTTGTCTCTGGTCATATTGGAAATAAATATTCTCTCCTGCGAGAGAATGAAAATAAATAATCGGATTCGACACCCCCCGAGAATCAAATGGTCGTCCCTTAGCATGCACCGCAAATAGAGGAGCCGAGTTTGTGTTTGTAGAGAGTGCGCGATCGGAATTGTGGGAAGGGTACCAGACTAAGTTTGTGATGGGCACCTGAGACCTTTATACAGACTAAATTTTATGACCAATGACATCCTTCGTAACGAAATAAATAAACAATCCTCGGATACAATACAAATGAAAAATTATCGCATACAAATAAGAAATTATACAATACAAATAAGAAATTATACAATGCAAATGGAAAATATAGAATACAAATGAAAAATTATACAATACAAATGATTTTTTTTACAACACAAATGGAAAACATAGAATACAAATAAACATTATACAATCCAAATGGAAAATTATAAAATCCAAATGGAAAATTATAGAATACAAACAAAAATTATACAATACAAATTGAAAATTATAGAATACAAATGAAAAATTATACAATACAAATGAAAAATTATACAATACAAATAAAAATTATACAATACAAATGGAAAGTTATACAATACAAATGGAAAAGATCGAATATTGCAACGTTTGACATGCCATAGACTACAGACCTAGTGCAATTTTTAATGAAAAACATTGTAGAGCAGATGTAATTATTTTTTGTTGCCTTTAAGCTCTCTGCAAACTGCAGGCCTTTTATTTCATATTATTTTTTATATTCGCCATTATCGCATGGAATCCTGGTAGTGAGGGAACTCTGGGAAGGTTTCACACCAAAATTTGCCTGACGTATATGTAATTCCGAATTTCCTCTGTTCTTACACGTTAGTCTATTGAGCTCGCTTCGCGAGCAGCGATCATTATAAATAATACAATATTATATATAATTATTTCTAACAATTTCATCACTCATTTAGCTTCAACGGTTGGGGAATCATATTTCTATTTGAATGTCAGATTTTATATGATAAATGCTATTCTATCAGTCTTACTATCCGTGGAATTTTAAGCCCTCGTAATCGAAGATTGGGGCATATAGTTTTTGGTCTGTCCGCCCCTCTGTTTGTCTGTTTCTCTGTTAATCTGATCGTCCGCGAAAAGTTTATCCTTTCCCATAATGAATGGTTGGGGCTTTCATATTTCACATGTGTATTCCTTGTGACAAGATCTTTCTTTGGGTATCAATATTTTTTGAACTCAAGACCTTGATCATGGAGTAGTTAACCTATATTTGAAAATACTTTTAACCTTGCCTATAATTTTCGTTGGTGCTGGGGCTTTCCTATTCCACTTATGTAAGTCTTGTGAAAAGACCTTTTCTTTGGTACCTCAAGACCTTGATCAAGGAGTATGAGCTACTTTGAAAAACTTTAACCTTGGCCATATTTTCTGAATGGTTGGTGCTTGGGCTTTCATATTTCACATATGTATTTGTCACATAGTAAATTTTACAAAATTAATTTACAATGTTTTACAATTTGATTTTATAAAAAGAATCATTTTAAATACTTACTTTTTGACATATGCTTAAAATTATCTATCTAACAATTAATATTTAGACAGTAAAAAGGAAAATGTCACTCAATATTTATTTAAGGAATTAGTGTCAATCCTTTGCCTCAAAGAGCGCCCGACTCGTATGTGTGATAATTGTGTAAATGTGTTAATTGAAGTTTGAGTGAATGCCATGTGTTGTGTGAGAGAGGCAGTTTTAGAACCGCCGTGGACAACCCCGGACGTGAATATTAGATGTACTGGACATTCCGTCATCAAGAAAATACAATTTTACTCTGGACTATTCCGAGTTACCAAAACGTTTGTGTGTGTGTCCGTGTGTGAGCATTTCAAATCGTCCTTGTTTTATGTAACTTTACTCGATTTATTTTCGGATATACAAACTTCTACATTTATATTTCGTAAATTATCTTTTAATAAATTTCATCACAAGTTCACTTGTGTTATATTCCTTGTAATAAGTCCTTTCTTTGGGTACCAATTTATGACCGCAAGAACTTGACCTTGGAGTTTAACCTTTTAAAAAAAAAACTTAAACCTTGGCCTTCAGCTGCCAGACAGGGGCATCAGTGTTTTACAAACACATCTTGTTTTTCTTTGCTATAATAATAGCTGACCGCCCTCAGATTTATTTTATTTAAAGGTTCTGCACATTAAAAATATTTTGAAGAAGTACGTTAAATATTTTTATACAACAGCCTTATTGAATATTTTTAACACGTTACATGCCATATCAGATGGTAACAATCCCTTCGATACATTTGTCTGTAAATATAAATGATATAAAGAACAATCTTTTATATGAAAATAGCAAAAGTTGCATATAATGCTGTGGGAGATATGAAGAACATGTATTTTGTATTATACAGATTGATATTTTTGTATACATGTATACTTTGCATTTATTGCATGATTTTCAAGTATGGGAGATATGAAGGTTTATTCACCAAGAAAAATCATATTTCCCGAGGGCAATCCCCGACAGGAATATGGTTTTTATTGATAGCTCCCAAACATTCATGCTTTAAATTGTGTATTATTAACACTATTATACCGAAACAATACCTGGCTACAATTATCAACCTGTTATATTTTCTACAACATGCAACAAGTAATAAAAACAACTAAAATTAATATTTAATTATGAACACAATAATTTTGTATCATCACAGATAAATAATAACAAAAAATTTTTACCTCGAGTAATAAGTATCAGAGATATAATCATAATTTTTATTAAAAATAAAAAGGACAGGAAAATGAAGTTTTATATCCCTGTCACGTGACTGTGTAGAACTAATCGGAAAACGCGTTGTATAAAATAATTATAATGACGTTTAAAATAAATAATTTAGTATTGAATGTTTTGATATCTTATAATAAAAAAAAGAACCATTAATAACAAATGATGATTTTTCTTCAGTAAAGTAAAATATGAGTTAGATGAAATTGAAAAACGTATTTTTGGGAATTCGGGAATAGGCAAATTCTTCAGGGAAAAATAAGAAAGACTTACGAATGACGTATAATCCAACTTCAATAACAACTTTCACAACAGTAGACCTCAAAGTCGTCTCCTTTTGAAGTTTTTCAACGATGTTGTGCTTGTTTGTCTCCATTGACCTTCAGTTTTATAAATATTTTAACACTTTAACATTTTAATCCCATATTTGCAATTTGCAGAAAAAAGTTGAAGATGATTTTATATATATATATATATATATATATATATATATATATATATATATATATATATATATATATATATATGATATCTTGTCCTGTTGAAAATGCTGGTAAATAACAGTGCATGACATGAAAGAGATCAATCGGATGTATCTAGGGATGATACCAGACTAACTTCGGATCCTGGATCTGACTTACATTTTCTAGATGAGTGACCAGGTTAAAGATTTGGAGAAGGTCCATTCCAAAGTAACTATTAGCCTTAGTTTTACCAAAGAGGAGAAAACTTTGAATTTAAAAAAACATTTTCCCTTGTAAATGTATCTGTACATCCGTTAAAAAAACATGCAGGTAATCAAAGATTAAAATCTAACGTCATTTTTTAGTTGGTGTGCATCAATATCCATGCAAGTTTGGTTTACATAGGACTAATAGTTACATCATACATACTACTTTGGTTCTTGTAAGGCTAATATTCACTCAACTGAAAAATATAGGTCAGATCCAGAATCCGAAACATCCCTAAAAGCATCATCCATGCAAATTTGCTATAAGTATTTGATTGATCCAGGTAGGGCTTTTAGTTACTTAGGAATAGACCTGCTCTAAAAATTTTAACCTAGTCACTCATCCCCAAAATGTAGATCAGATCCAGCATCCGAAGCAATTCTGGATGTGTTCATTCCAAGATGCATCATCCATACAAGTTTGATCCAGGAAGGACTTATAGTTACTTGGGAATGGACCTGCTCCAAAAGCTTTAACCTGTTCACTCATCTGAAAAACGTAGGTCAGATCCAGCATCCGAAGAAGTCTGGTAGTGTCCTTTCTTAGATGCATCATCCAAACAAGTTTGGTCTGAGCAGGACTTGTAGTTACTTGGGAATGGACCTGCTCCAGAAACTTTAACCTGGGCAATCATCGGAAAATGTAGGTCAGATCCAGCATCCGAAGCAAGTCTTGTAGTGTCCATCCCTAGATGCGTCATTCATGCAAATTTGGTCCAGGTAGGGCTTATATTACTTGGGAATGGACCTGTTTCAAAACTTTAACCTTTTCTCGCATCTGAAAAATGTAGGTCAGATCCAGCATATGAAGTAAGTTTGGTAGTATCCATCCATAGATGCATCATCCATGTCAGTTTGCTCCAGGTAGGGCTTTTACATGTAGTTACTGGGAATGAACTTACTCCAAAAAACTTTAACCTGGTCAATCATCTGGAAAATGTAGGTCAAATCCAGCATTCGAAGCAAGTCTTGTAGTGTCCATCCCTACATTCATCATTCATGCAAGTTTGGTCCAGGTAGGGCTTATAGTTACTTGAGAATGAACTTGCTCCGTAATCTTTAACCGGGACGCCGATATCGGGGTATAGCATAAGCTCAAATCGACTTCGTCGAGTTGACCTAAAATGCAGCTTGGAAAACAGGAGGAACAACTCAACTAAGGGGAGGGAAAATAAACACACACCTCCTACATTTTCAGAGTTGTTCCTCTTTGATCAGTGAACTTGTGAAAATGGGATCGATAAATTGAAAAAAGTTAATTATTTAAATTTTTTTTTTATAAAATAAAAGCAAAATAATATTTATTTGCATAATCATAAGAAAGACCAGTTATATAAATATTATGTAGCCAAATTTTAATGGGGAAAGCAACAACGTACCATAAAGATTTTTAATGGTGTGTTCACGAATACTATATATGGAATTAATGGAATTTAAGGAATAATCTTTCTTTTTCATCCTTTTTTATGGAAAAGGGAGTGGGGGGTTAATTCAAATACGCAAATTATCAATATCGTATACATGAAGAAACAATAACCGAAGCCCCCAGTTCCATTTTTTTCCTTTCAAATACACCGGGATCGTATCGCTCGTCATTTTAACCTTAACAATTGAAGTCACAAGAATCCCCCAAATATGTTGTACATCTTTACAATTTGTTTCTGATGACTTTAAGGTGTGATGACATGACTTTGACTCCTAAAAGTGTGACTTAATGTCATATAGATCTCAAAGGACAATGTCACGGTCAGTGGCCAATGAAATAAATCCTTTTTGAGTGAGCAACGTGTCGATTAAAGTACATTCAATCCTTATATTTTCTTGTTAACCAATAAATTTAAATATTTTTTTAGATTTCATTTCATTATTTACTAGTATTTTTATAATTATTCAAGGAAATGCCAAACATTCATTATAGTAAAACATTCAAGCTCTAAAGTGACTTATCTGAAACAGAACTTCCATTTTTTCTGGGGGGAAATACTAGTATAAACCAAGATTATAGATTAAAGACTTATTATATTCAACGATGAGTTATATGTTCTATAAAGATTCATCAGATAACTCTGTCTTTGGTATTTCACCTTAAAAATTTCAAGGCCACCTGTTGGCGGTCAAATTTGACAGATCACAGCTACCATACTTTGTAAAAAATAGAATTTCAGCAGATTTTGTGCTTTGTCATTGTTTTGTGAAAATGTAAATACCTGAATAAATTTTTCTGAACATGAAACTTAATAAGTGTATTGGAATAAATCAGATCCAATTTTATATACATAAAAAAAAATAATTCAGAGAGAGAGAGAGAGAGAGACCCACCTTCCCTGCTTTATATCAGCCTTCCAGTTACAGATGTTTGTAATTTTTTTTAAAGATATCCTGGTATAAAAGGAGGGATTTAGAGATTGAAGAGGACTGTGAATAGGTAGAGGGGTATTATTGTCGGTTACTGAAACATAGTAAAGGTGTAACAGACGGGGAATGTTATGCATGGATTCCTATTGTACTGTCATTACAACAGGTCGTGTGTGACATTTCGTCAAAACCAGAGGTTAATCTAATCCTGTTTGGAATCTGAAACTTCAAACACACAATCTATGGAAATCTCTATATTTCACAAAGGGTTTTAAGGTATTTCCACCCTCAAAATTTTAATGGTTCAAAGTAGAAAAACTGCATTTATTTTCAATGAATATATATAGTTTAAATTAACTAATGATAGCAAAAAATGTATAGGTTGCCATATTTTTTAAGATGTTAGGTATAATTAAACAGAAGTGAAAATCATACATATTTATAGTGAACAGTATTTTATAAATTATGTAAAAACTGGTTCAAATACATAATTCTAATGTTGAAAGTTCCAAAATAATTGATTCTTTATAAATATGTTTGAATTGTGAATTTCGGGAAAACCATTTTATTTTTAAGTACAATAAAGAAAATATCTGAATGAAGATACTTGAGAAGGAGTTATTCCCCTTAGCAACATTTTTTCAAGCTTAAATAATTGATTAAATTAAGAAATATACATTTTAAATAAATTTTCAACAGTGAAATACTGTGATTTATTTATTGAATAAAAGTAATATTCTGTCACAGTGTGAAAGGATACCAAAGTGATATTCTGTCGCAGTGTGAAAGGATATCAAAATGAGTAAAACATAACTTCTGGCCTTTCATAAGATAAATTTAGTAACTAAACATCATAATATAGAGACTAAAAATGCCAATTTCTTCCCAAATATGTAGCTAAAACCCATGTTACAATGTTTTCAATCTCACAATTTGCTAATCTATGACGTTTCAACTGCTCAACCAAGACATCACAGCCTCTGTGGTAAGAACACTGTGTTATAAGAAAAGACAGAGGCAAAGGAAAATCAAAGAAAATGTAATAAAAAGAAAATTCAATGTTTTGTAGTTGAATATGGAATTTATTTCACTCTTGAGACAGGATTTCTATATATTTTCACTCGTGCTTTGCACTCGTGAAAATATCAAAAAATCCTGTCCCACTCTAGAAATAAATTCCATATCCAACTACAAAACATCGAATATCCTCTATTTATATTTCTTTCACTTAACAATTTTTTTGCATTACATCTATTGAAAAGCATACTTCCAAAAATATTTTTCTATTGGGTATGAATTCAGATTAATAACAGGTTTTTTTGCAAAACCCTATGACATCAGAGGAGGATGGAAATACCAGTTTATATATACATCCACTTATATATATTTATATATATATATACATCCACTGAATATTATCTCCTTTATTTCTTAAGAAAACCACTGCCATTTATTAGTCAGTAAACACCGCTAATTTCTTGAGAAGAGGCTGTTCAATCAATGAAACGTACAATGACGTACATATCAATAATACACTATTTCATCTACTAAATCCAGCTGCAACATTTTAAAATTCCCGTTCTAACAACCAAAGAAAGCATTTCATTGTTTAAACTAACAAAGAAAGACATTTAATTGTTTATATTTATATCTGCACAAATAATCGTCTAAAGTAGGATCAAGTAGATTAAATATTGTATTATTAATATATGCGTCAATGTAGGTTTCATTGATCACGCAATTTACAGTGCAAAATCGCGATCGGCCTGTGGAAAAGTTAAAAGAAAATGTGAATCGAAACTAACATTACTATATGTCATTTGAAACACGGTAGTGTATAATTATTAAAAGTCGCAATTTGAATTACATATTTCATGCTATGTTTTGTTGAATGCGGTTAGAAAGCTAATTTTTCACCAAGATATTTATTTAAAAAAATATATACATGATGTCGATGGACCATAATTGGAAACCAAAAGAATTAAAATAATTTTTTTTTCTACCTGGCACCTACGGGCTTCCGTAGTAACGTAAATATCGGTAACGTAAACATTTTTATGAGCTTTATCGTATTTAATGTTGTTGTTTAATTATTCCACTGTTAATTAAAGGCATATTCTATTGCTTGAGTGTAGGTCAATTTGAACCATAAGAAACAATGTTGTTCTCTTACTTAATTTGTGAATAAATATTAACACGTAAATGTCAACGAATTTTTTTTACCACTGGATTTATAATAAAAGGGGAGCTATATTTGATAAATACAGATAACAGGGTCTTTTATAACATTA